AATAAAATCACTGCAAAGGTAAATGATTTTGCAGGACAGCTGTAGAATGCAGCAATGAACTGACAGGTTGAAAACTGTGTCAAAGCTTCAAAGGGGCATTCTCCCCAACTATGCAGGGCACATGTGCTGAATGTTAGTGTGAGGATTAAAGCTTTTCAGCCTTGAATGGTTGCACTTTGTAAAACAGCACTTATGTTACTCAGTATGATTTTGTGACTGCAAATGAACAAAATGGAAAAAATTGGGCGGTACCAAAAAAATAAAGAGACGTCTCACATAGTGAATGTTTGAATGTTTAGAGATTATTTCAAATGCTTCAAGTATGAAATGACAACGTGCTAAGAAATGGCAGTAAATGTTAATATCACACAGATTTCTTTATCCAGGATATTTCTGTTTTGCCGCTCTGAAATTGCATTGGGTTCTATCAAAAGCATCCTCGTGACATTTACCAGGGAACAACATGACCTCCAGCACTCTTCTCTCCACCATACATCATCGCAGTAAAACGTCACTGCCTCTGTGCCGCTCTGATACGCAGGCGCCCGGGTGTTTGTCCGCAGCGTTAGATTTATTATGCCAGGGATTTTTTCTGACTGGATGCAAGATCCGCCCTTAGCTGCAGTTAGGATAGCGGTTAGGCCACACTAATGCAGTTTCCTGCTTATGAGATTTAAAGGCATTCAATTTCAGGGCAGCACAGCAAAAAAATATTCTGGATGATGAAATCTGTTATTTCTTGCCATTTCTTAGCTCATTTTCATCATCATTTCATACTTAAAGCATTTGAAATAGCCACAAAACAAGCTATGTGATGAGTCCCTTTATTTTTTGGTGCCAGCCAGAAATAGCTAGAACCAGCCTACGATATGAAACAAACAACGGATTTCCATCAGCGACATCACATTTTTGCCGCACAGATATCAGTATGCTATGGGATACGGCTGATTCAATTTACCACATTAAAAAAATGAACAGGAAGTATTGGATTCTATCAAGTTTCTTGACCAACATTTTCCTAGTGTGTCCTCATTACCTGGATTTCTAACCTTCATCGACCTATTAAGGAAATGCATTTGTGTGGCCTTAAATCCCAGGCTATATTGCAATGTTCATTACAGAAGTACTTTCTCTTTACTTAAAAATCTTTGAGAGCCAAGAAAATGCATTAGCGTGGCCTTACATGTACATTCCCAGTTTATATTGGCATGTGAATGATCCTGTTGCCCATGACTGTGGCATCCTACTGGGGAGCATAGCAGTAAACACAGCTACCCGCCGGTCACGACCCAGGGCGTAATTCAGACCTCGGCGTTCGCTTGTCTCTTTGTTGTCTGATTTTACTGTATATTGAATGTCTGAGACTGTAAATGTCAGGAGGGAAGTTGGACCATATCCAGGAGTTTAATGGCTGCAGAATGGACCTACTCCGCGGTTATTCGTAATTGCTTTTTACCTGAATGTACATGAATGGATTCCGAGGTACATGTATCGTTTTGGGTGTTGAAAGCACGTTGTGAGGGGAATTTCATAACCACAGACCACAAAAGAAAGTCAGAAGCTGGTAAGGAGCCAACTAAAATTTGACTTTAAAATTTAGGTATAACATAGGGAAAACATAACTTTGCCAAATTTGTCACTAAAAATTTAGGAAGTAGTGTCTCTACTAGACCACCTACTGTGGTTGTGTTTTCGGAACTTGATGCACGGCTTGTGCCACAGAAAGTTGTCCTTCTGTACGTTGACCTGACCCCTACAGCTATGCTATGGAAAATTTCTGGTAAGAGCCCAGCTGTATTACAGAGAGTACAAGTGTGCCTTCCTGTCAGGCATGGCTGCAGTAGAGCCAGATGTTTCTCTTCCTATGGTTCAGTCTGTTGATCTGCTTGTTCCACTTCCCAACTCAATTTCCTGCTCTATCAACTCACCATCCTGTGCACCAGCGCCCCCCTTTGGGACTTGTTACACTGCGGTACTGCTAGCATGTTGACCAGTTAGGGAAAAATAATCCTCAAAATCAAATGGACAGTGAACTAAAGGCATGCCATGTTCATGCGCTTCCAGGGGGGCAAAACAAAAAATCTTCTGGATAAGGAAATCTGTCTGATATTGACATTTACTGCCATATTTTAGCACATTTTCCTCATCATTTCATACTCAAAACACTTGAAATACAATGTAGCCAAAAACAAGTTGTAAGAGACAATCGCAGTATGCTTTGAGGTTGATTCAACTTTCTACATTAAAAAAAACGACCAGCTAAATTGACTTGAAAATACCAGTTTTACTTGCCTCAAAGTAAAATCGCTTGGGGTCTTATAATTTCCTAGAAAAAAACATTAAAAAACCATGTATTGATAGCTAGAAAGTGAAGACAATTATGTAACCTTCTCCCTGCCAAGGTAGCGTTTTGACACCAGTATCAGATAGCAATGAGGTTGAAAACTTATACATTAATGTCAAGGTTTGACATTTTGCGTATTATGTTATTGGAAATGTTTTGTCGTAAAAGATATTGATGATGAATTATCATTGCCAAAAGTGATTTAAAGCTGTTGCTTTGCCTGTAGCTGAGCTAACAATAACCGAAATGATCTTGCCATGGCTCATTAGACAAATGTTTTGTTCGCACAACATGACGGTTTGCATCTGCAAAACAGGTGTCAGTATTACTAATGCATGCTTACACCCCCATCTGTAATTACTAATTAGCGTGAATTATTTGTTTAATTGTGCAGCAACCCGTAATGAGGGGTATCAGTTTGCATCATTGTTTTTAATTGAGATTAATAATCAAGACATTAGTCAACGTAATTGTCGTTTGGTAATTAGAAAATAGCATAGAATGTCATGTTCCAGTGGCTCTCATTTGTAATGTGTAATAAAAGTTATGACAACAATTATGACAAAGGATAACAAGCAGACGTATTTAGATAATGACAAAACATTATGAAGGGTAGGTTAGAGTACTAATCTGATGAAAAAGTTGGCAGAGTTTTGTTTTATGGTTTTTAAATGTGCTATGTACTAGAAAATCAACATGAAAACAGTCTGAGGGAATGTCTGTACCCTGATGCACACATTATCAGGGAGTGAATTAGGGACAGTGTTAGGGATATCAGTTTTCCTTCTAACGCTCTGTTTCAATGCTGTAAATACATTAGTTATGCAGAAGTGGTATATATTTGTGTGTCCTCAGTCAGTCAATATTGACCATGATCAAATCCTTATTTACATCAATCCTAAGACTAAGTATACAGCATCGGCTGTAGCTTAACAGTCCTATACAACAATGAATCTGATAAGAAAGATCAAAGACAAAGCTAAATTATGCACCTTAAAGACCCCCAAAGTGAATTCAGGTACCCCAAACAAATTTTTGTGGGACTCTTTCAAACGCTTCAAGTATAAAATAATGACAAAATGGGCTAAGAAATTGCAATAAATGCAATTGCAATATGAGACAAATTTCCTCATCCAGAATATTTTTTTTAACTTTTGCCGCCCTGAAATTGCCTTAGATGCCTTAAGAAGTGTCCTCAGCTTGTGTGTTTCTGTCAGCAGAAGGTCCTGTACCCTCTTCCATCACAGCTGTCAGCTGATAATTACCCAGTCCCTCCAGCCCTTCTTTTGTCAACCTGCCAAGAGGACCGTTAATAACCTGGCACAGCCCTCTTTTCTAACTTAGCCAAGTGCTTCCAGCCAGCCTTGTTTCTGGGTTAGGCCAGACCATGTTAGCTTCTTGGTTCTCCTCATGTAAACAGAGTGTAAAGGGAAAGTATGTGAACAGTTTTAGGGAGGGAATATATTAGGTTTATTTGCAAGTTTATGTCTGAAGGCTAGTTGCAAACATGAAACAATGTGCAAGTTAACAATGGTGACAAGTGGAACAAATGACTAATGTAAGAATGGCTACAAAATACAATCTTAGCATGGTTTTGACGAAGTGTCCCACTTTTTCTACAATGAGTGGTTTTGGGAGGTTAACAGGGTTGTAGCTTTCTTTTTATTTGTCAGTTAACATTGGGGAATTGTAGTAAGTTTTGGAAGCTCCTTTAAATAGCTTTTTTCTTTCCTGATCATCAAACTAACAGGGCAGTATTAGGTAAAATCTATTCCTCTCTGCCCTACGGTTTCATGTTGATAAAAAATTTTTACCGAAAATATCTGAGTACTGACGAAATGAAATAGAATGGCTCCAGAAAATGTTCTCCCAACTCCTTTCAGGGAGGCAATGACTCCTATTTCCATGCTCACCTTTTGCTAAATTTTGATTTCTCAGAACCAAGGTAATGATTTGGATTTTGGAGTGGCCTTAGCGGTGTTAGTGTACAGTGAAAGTGCTCTCCCCTGACAACCAGCACACAGCCTGGCAGCTGGGAGGTTTCAGAGACTCATCCCCAGTCTGCGGTGGTAATCGAACGCCTGATTGAGCGCTCACAATGACCAGGAGTGCCCACTCCTGCCCTATTTGTGTTCCGAGTGCAGCTTTTGACCACAGACGTTAGCACAGCCCCCCTCCCCCTCTCGGGGCTCTTCCTTACTTCTCCTGTACATCACACACTCCAGGAAAGGGATCCTCCGTCGATCCTCTCTTGGTAATTTAATTTGTCCTTATCATAGGTTTGCCGGATGGGATGCATTCTCGCGGACTCCTTGCCTGCGAAATCGATAAGAGCGCCGGTCTTTTGTGGCAGTTGTCATGCGTGGACGCTCCCCGGCAAGTTGATTGATAACGGCGAGGGGCTGCATAATATTGGGAGCTGGCACCGGGCTTAATTGTGAGCCGCATACAGGGCACTGATTTTCGCAGGGGCCAATTGCTTCGGAGAGGGATGTTTGTTTAATTTGCGCTAGAAACCCGACTTGCCCCTCGCGATCTGACAGCACAGCCCTTCCCCTACAGGCATGCGTGTGGATGTAAACGGCAGCGTTGTTGTTATTGTTATTGTTGTTCTGCAAACAACGTTGTGACCAGAATGTTATCCTTCTTCCCACAGGATGTGCACGGGGCACAGCTGAGCCACACAAAGAGTGAGTACTTCCCTGTATATTTACCTCCTCTCTCGGCATGTATTTATTCTCGGCACGGGCTCAAGGTCTCCCGTTGACGTGCTCGCCCCGACAGGGTTCCCTCCATGTTATGATTAAGCGTTATTATGTTTTGAAATCGGGGGCTTGCTGCTTTGCGGGTATTTGCGGGGCATTTAGCAGCCTTTGATCACCATCGATTAGCCACTGTGGTGAGTAATCGGCGTGATTTGATTGCGGCCGGGACGCGATGCAAAATTCAGGGACTCCACATCCTGTATTCCGTCCATGTGCCCGTGTTGACACGGGGGTGTCTCCGCCGCATTCCCACACCGGCCGTGCAGCGGTCTGCGTGCATGCTCAGCCGCTGGAAAAACCAAAACACAACAATGCCTGCTGCACCATTTATGCAAGCGTGACAGCTTGTTCATACCTGTAATCTGATTTATCACTTCTCACTTGTCAATCGATGTCGCTGGTCCCGGAGGATTCGTTGTCGAGTCGTCAGAACCATCTATCACGACGGGGAAGCATATCCCTTCTGTAATGTGGGCAGGGAGAGGGACTAAATATGATCATTGACAAGTTATGACATCGACACCAGATAAAAGTATGGATGACGAAGGGATGCTCGTTATGCATGGCTCAAAATGCCACCTGCATTGTACAGATTCGAAATATTTCAGATTAAAGAAAAATATTTATCCACATTTATAAACATACCAAAATTATTTTTTTTAAGCTGAAATCTTACAAGCTGTAAGAAAATAGAATTATGAATCTCATATTGAGGAAAACAAAGTGTTGCAAAGGTCGTAAATTATGTCTTTATCTCTGTATTTCTTTATTATTTTCTTTGTATAGTTAAGTCTCTTCAGTTACAATAACTGATTTCTGAAGGGAGTTGTTAACAAAGCAAGAAAATAATAACAAAGGATACAAAAGAAAAATGTTCTTATCCATAACATGGCATAGCTTGAGTTATTTTTGGATTTCAGACAGTTTGTTTCTGACTAACTGTTCCTCGTTTTTCTTCCGCAGGAAAAACTGGCGCAGCGTCTGGCGGCGGTGGAAAGGCGAAACCCATGGGCCCGTCCTCCTCCGAGTAAGTCAAAGACATCTTCCTGTCTCTCATTCCGGCGCCGTTTAGATTAATTCCCGGCGATCCCACTCCCGGGACCTTTGACACAATTGCATTTGTTGGCCCAACCAAAGTGGGGTATTGGATCGATTATCCTCGGGGATCAATAGCTTCTCCCGCCAGGCTGAGACACAGGCGGGTTGTTAGAGCACCCTGCCTCGCTTGTTTGCCCACTGCATTTATTGCTGTTTGCCAGGTAAACACACTTGTCGGTGGTTCTCCCTCGGACGGGAGCCAGGTCGTCCTGGAAACGGATAGATCCGGCGGCTGTGTGAGTGGGGGCGATTTTTCTTCCCGTAGGTTCACCGGGAGTTCAGCTTGTTGGTATGCTGGTGCTGAGCCCTTCCGTGGCGTAATGGCAGGTTCTTACACAGAATGGCTTGACTGACTCTCCAGTTGTGCAGTCAGGGTTTCAGGCGCCAGGCTTGATGAGCTAGCTGGCTGCAACAAGGCTCAAGATTCATTCTTCGGAAATTTTCTGGTGCTTCGTAGGCCGTTCCAATCTAATTTGTTGGTTCTGGGGTTTTTCTATGGAAAAATATGAAGCAACGGGGAAAAAAATGTAGGATGACAAGGACTGTTGTGGCCAAAATTTGAGCATTTTGGAGTTGATTCAGAACCTGAATTTTTTTTGGCAAATAAAAAAAATGAGGCAGGCAAGTCCAAGAACCAACTAATTGCACCCACTGTCAAATATCAGTTACACAGCAACAATTTTGGGTGAACAAAAGTACAATTAAAAACCAGGTATTTCTAGCCCTGCTGCCAGAACGTCAGTTGAGAATTGATGTCTCAAGGTCTGGTAAATGTAAATCTCACTGCTTGCTTCACAGATTATATGTTTCAAGAGGTAAAAATGACAAATCAGATGCAGGTGCAACATTTGTTTTCGTTTCTAGATTTTGTTTTCATCACAGCTGACAAGCAAATATTATACTAAGAAAGACACATGGCGAAACCGAAAGTAGATGTTAATCAATAATAATTACACTAATTTTCCTACAGTTGTCTGGTTACAGATAGGATTTCTTCAAATCTCTGAGGACAGTATTTAATTTGGATAATCCTACTGTAATTATGTAATTTTAAGCACAAGTGGATTACCTCACAAAATGACTTAAATTAAATGACACTGTAAATACAAAATGTAAACCACAGCTTTACATTTCATACAATTTACAAATCTATAATTTGTTAGAAGTTCCGTTCTGAAATGTTTTAGAATTGACAGTAATATCGGATTATTCTCCCTGCGGCGGAACGTTATCCCGACATATTATAAATTCCGCAGACGTTGCCGAGTTATTAAAGGTGCCGGGTCGGAATTGTCTGGGGGTTTGCGGAGAAATTAGTTTGCCATAAATGCAGTACGGAGGGAATTGGGGTTCCTCGCTAAATGTCAGGAAAGGTGGGCAGTGAAGTGGCTAGGAGGACTGGCACTGCCACAAGGTGGGGAGGGGGGCATAAATCACCAAGGTCACGCCCTTGAACACCTCCCATGTGCCTAATTACAAGGCCACTCGTTTTGTGACACCACCACAAAATACTAGAATGTAAAAACAAATATATGACTGACGGCTGTATTGCCAGCTTTTAAACAAGCTATGTGAGGAGTCCCTGGGTTTTTTTGGTGACCAGAAAATTGACTTTGAAAATCCCTGAAATTGCTTTGAGTGCCTTATAATTTTGTAACTGAAGTGTGAACCAGCAAACTGAGTTGGTATGGTCCAAGGTGTGTCACAGCCTTGTTTCCTGGTGGTTGGCTTTACCGTGGGCCATCTGGGTTAGAGCAGCCGCCACTCAAGGGTGAATTAATTTCTGTAGGTCAGCGAACGTCCGTGCGCGGGAGTCTCCCGTTCGCAGGTGATTGTCGTGATAATGGCCGCGGCACATTCGTCTTGATCCCCTTTACTTGCCGACTTGTGGGCGCTAGCGCCGGGAGGCACGGGAAAATAACACCTCTTAAGGCCCAGCAAGCCCCGTTTGAGTCGGCCGCTGACGAAAATAGATACCATTTAGACTTGGTCCTGACATTTCCCTGGCTTCCTCACGTGGGGGGCAGAGGTCGCGTGAACACACGGGAGTCAGATTGCAAAGTCACAGTCAGGAGTCTGGTGTGAGGTCACGGGGTCACAATCTGGGCTGCCCTCATCCTACTCTGAAAGGCAAGCATCTTTTATGAGCTCTCGGGTCATTATTGGTCAGATAGTATCCATATCTCAATATCAAATGATATTCACTTTTATGTATATGCTGGAGGTGTGATCTACTGATTTTTTTTCTTCGCCCTGTCACTTCACTTTTTTTTTTTAAATCCGAGAAACAACAAATCAAATTGGTGTGGCCTCAGTTTAGTTCAAAATTGTTGCTCAGGTAGAGTTGAATATTTTGATGAAT